CCAGTCGTGGTATGGGCGCGACACTGAGGGTTGCGATCCCGTTACCGGTCACAAAAAAAGACAAAAAGGAAAAAAAAATAATAAAAAAATATAAAAATCAGTAACTGACAAGAATCCTGTATATTTAAATTTTTTGACCCTATTTCTCTTTCTGTCTCCGTTCTCTTCCACTGCTTTCATTTTGTCACACATAGACTGTTTAACCTTATACACTTTCATTTTTCCTGCATTTTCCCACTAAAGCCACTTAAAGGTTAACATTGGCACTGATGACCAAATTCCACAACTTTTAATTCCTGATTCCCCTTACCTTTTTCTGAGCCCTTGATACAGATGACTGACTACCCCTCTTTCTTTTTCTTCGTTTAACTTTTCAGAGGCTTTGTTCTCTTTTATAACTATTATGTTTATGTTGCCTTCTCAAGCTGTAATTTTCCTTTCTATACATAAATATAAGCATACTCCAATCCTCAGAATTCATTTCTTTCCTCTCGGAGATACACAATCTCACCACTTCTTTTTATCCTCAGAATTCATTTCTTTCCTCTCGGAGATACACAATCTCACCACTTCACTGTATTAAAGTCACATCATATGTATGTTTAAATGATACAAATTTAACCACAGACATTCAGCCAAATAAGAGAGCGGGTTGAGAGAGAGAGAAAAAGTGTTTAGTGATAGCAAGTGCAATAGTGATGGCAATTCTGCCTGAACTCCATTTTATTGAGTGTATGCCCAGAGTGAGCAGTCATGAACTGCAAAACAAGAATCCACTATTCCTTTAATTAGTCCTAGCTTCCATGTGCCTCTTATGTGAGTATCTCTTAGAAGTGAGGTAGATTCTAGTATTTAAATATATTTATTTAATAAAACACTACCCTAAATTTAAGCCAACAGCTTCAGCTGGAGTTTAACTGAAAAACTAGTGGTCCATTCCAATGCTGGAGTAATAACTGGCTATGTGGACATATTGAGAGACTGTGTGCCTGTCTCCATTTCTCCCTTTGTAAGAACATTTCAGGAGTAATTTTGGAGAAGGAAACACACACACACACACACGCACACACAAAGTTTATAGGCTGATTTTAGAACCTCACATCTGAGTAAGATATGACTCCATTGTTTTTCCTTATAACAATTTCCTAGACCCGTCAAAAATGTGTTTGAGTAAATGAATCTATTTTAGCCTCAAGTGGAACCTGAGCTTTACCTCAGTGTCCTGCCTAGTACCTCATTCTCGGCGTATCTCAAATTAAATTAATCTTAGCCTTGCCTTCCCACATCTCCCAAACCAGCATTTCTTGACTTCCTAGGTTCTTAACAGCATCACTTCTCCTTGCTTTCCAGACTTAAAGTCTTATTCTGGTTATAATCATACCCCTCATCCCCTGCTCCCCCCAAAACAAAAAGATACAACTGTTGCTTATTAAATTTACTGTGTGAGTTTATTAACCTTACTTTTTCTGTCCTTCCGAAAGTGGTCCTTATTGTATTTCAGTTTAATTAAATATTTACCAACTTTCCAAGCTTGTTTATCACTTCTTCCTGACACAAATCCTGTTGTTCCCACACGGAATGCCTTCTCATCTTTGCCCTTCATAAACTTCTCCTATTCTGAAGCCCATCTCAAACTCTAACCCTTCCAATTTTCCTTTTTCCTCACTTCAGTCATCATGACTGTTCCTCCCTTCTTTGAATTCCCAATACTGTATACTCTGTACTTTTTAATTTTAATTTATTTGTGTTTATCCAATCCCCTGTTTTTCTTGTGAATTATATGAGGTTTAGATGAAAATAGATTTTCATAGTGCATGTAATTTCTCTTTCATTTTTTGTTTTGTTCCCTTTTCATTAATGATACCTTTTCCTCCAGTTTTTGCCTTTCAGATTTAAAAGGTATTGATTGATCAACTTTTGTTTGCTCAGGCACTGTGCTACATGCTTTTTTTTTTACATATGTTCTAAATATCTCCTCATATTTAGTTATATTTAATCCTGAGAGCAAATTGCAACATAGGTATTGCAACTTGCAACATAGGTATTGCAACTTGTATGTACAGAAGATCCTCAGTATCCAAGTTCTCATTAATCTAAGGAATGCACAGAGAAGCAAAAGTTGCCAAACAAAAATGTACTCAATAATGAACTGATAATTTACAAAATTAGGCTCTACTCACCAACTCTTCTTAATTAACTGTAGCTGTTATATCTGTTCCTCCATCACATGAACACCCTTCTCTGTCACTGTCTTGCTAATACAACGCAAATATAACACAAACCAAAGTGAAATTGTAAACGTTGCAAAAGAAGTCTATTAAAGTGCAAGAGAATGGCTTCAGTTACCTACAAAATTGTTGACACATGAGTATCCAGCACAATTAACAATTGAAGAAAAAAAGATGACTCATAGGCAAGCACTGCAAAAAATAATTTGAGTAACAAAGAATTAAGAGAGACCTTTAAGAAAATTATTGAAACCCTCAAATAAAAAGTGACCCATTTTATCATCGTGTTGTGAATTTTAAAGCAGAAAGATGTTGTCCCATTATATAGTCAGAAAAGATATGCCCAAAATAAAATACATTAACTAAATTATTAGCTATTTTTAAAATTGAACCGATTTTCAGAAGTTTTAGTTTTATATTTCAAATTAAGTTGTAGTCATTCCTTTATTTTTTCACCATTTACTGTGAAATATTTGAACCTGTTTTAAATAGGTTCCAGTATCAGTTGATCATTGTATACCAAGGTATTAGTCCGTTTCTGTTGCTTATAGTAAAATACTTGGAACTGAGTGATTTATAAGAAAAAGAAATTTATTGCTTACGGTTTCAGAGGCTGGGAAGTCCAAAGTCCAGGGAACACATCTGGTGAGGGTCTTCTTTGGTGGTGGCTTTAGCAGTGTAGGGGACTCACATGGCAGAGCAGAGAGAGAAAAACTCTCACCCGCTCTCCTTTTAAAGTCCTTAGAACCATGCCCCTGACCACCATTATTAATCCATTCACGAGTACATGGTCCTACAATCTCATCACCTCTTCAAGGCCCCACCTTTCTATTACCATAATAGGATTTCCTACCCTCAACAGTTATAGTGGGAATTAAGCTTCTAATACATGAACTTTGGGGAACACAATTCAGTCAATCCACAGCATCAAGGACCTCTTTTATCTACCTTTTACAGCTATGATGGCATTAGATTGCTTATGTGTTAACTCAATATTAGCTTCTCCATTCTTATTACTCCCCTTTTTGGGAAACATTTAAATTTCTATTTTTTCCTCTATCAACTTTTTAAAAATTTGTTTTTCACTTTTTTAATTGATTGTACATGTTTGTGGGGTGCAAAGTTGACTGTCAGTAGCTGCGTACAATATGTGATGGTCAGATCAGGATAGCTTATTCATCATCACAATACGTAATGATTCTTTATGTCCATTAGGCAATTTCTCATTAATTCTCATTAACCTCTTTCCCTGTCTCCCTCCCCCTTTCCTATTCTAGTAACCACAGTTCTGTTCTCTCCTTTCAAAAGTTCACCATATTACAGCTTCTGTATGACCCTCATAATTTCTCCTGTTCCCCCTCTTTTTTTTTTTCTTTTTCCCTCTTGTTCCTTTGCCTCATTGCCAATGTCCTAACCTTGAGGATTTCCGCTGTCTGCTTTCTGGCCTGTCTTGCTGTACCTTTTTAATCTCCTCATCTGGAATTCTGTGATTTCTATTTTAGGTTTTTCCCTCCTTTAAGTCATTTTTTACTTTTTCCTTTCTCTCCTAATAAAAGTTTTTTTTAACTTTGAATTTTTCTTTCATTCTTCCTTCTGAATACTTACTTATACCTCTTCATTCATGGCAAGAAAGTTGGTGTTACCCAGAACCTCTGTGTACTGTAGAAATGCTTATTGCTAAGAACGTGGGTGAGACAAGACCTAAACATCACTTCTCAAGGGAACCCTGTTTTGCCCAGCATGTCCAGGTATTACACCAAGCCATTCTATCTTGGCAGTTCCTTCTGCAAACCTCTGCAAGCTGGAGTACTTATTTCTGTTCTTCCTTCTACTACCAAAGCTCCTTGATTTACTATCAGTGGATATACACTAAAGAAATTTGATATTGTAGTTTACCATAATAAAAATACTAAACCTGGGATTTTTTAAACAAAAATATTGGGAGGTCCTGGGAGAAAAAAGTCCACTCTTATCAGTGGGCCTCTTTCTGCCTCAGAAATGTAAAGAAATATTTTAGGACTTAGGCCTCTTCTACAGGCCTCTGCTAATTAATACCACTGTTTTAGTGGGAATGCAGATAAGTTTAAACTAAATATGAAGGGAAAAAATTTAGAGAGAGTCATAGACCCTCTCTAAAGAAAATAAAGTCTCTTAAATTTTAAAACTAGGCTAAAATTAATATCTGCAATGTGTGATAGAAACATTGTAGTTGGAAAATGGGCATCTACTCTAACAGATTTTCTCAGTTTTTAATATCTCTGATTAGAGTATAAATGTAAATGTTGTTTATTCTCCCAAATTGGTACATTTCCCTTTTATCATCTTTCTGTGTGGGTAAAAGGTAACTCAGAATATATATTTTTAATCTTTCTAAAAAAGGAATCTTCATAAATCAGAATTTTAGTAATCTCATGTCTGTGATTTGGTGAAAAGTTAAAAAAAAAAAAATCTTTGGAAAAATGTCTGTCTTCATATCCTCATTAGGAAACTTCTCTTTAATTTTGTAGTCAAATCAGAAAATTAATGCCCGTTGGACCACAGAGGAGCAGCTTCTAGCAGTGCAAGGTATATTAAAGATAAGCAGTTATTGTTGTTAATAATTATTTAACTTGTGAAAGGTGACTACCATAGTTCTTCCTTTCCTTTAGAAATGGATCAAGAAAGGGCTCTTGTGTTCATCACAAAGTCCTGGTGACCAGGAATTCTTTGTTGTTTTTGTGGATGTGACATATTGAGTCTATGTGCATTTTGGGTCCTAAACAGCATGTAATGCATTCTCAGCACTAAATAATTGATGGTGATGACAAGCATGAACAAGTCATATGGGCTCTGTGTGCCTCTGCTTCAGTATTCCTGCAATTGGGTTTGTTCTTACTATATCATTCATTGATAACACATACTTAAAAGCATAAACAAATTATGATATGTTTCTGGTTTTTCTAATTACTCTGTATAATAGTGTTTCTCTATTTGATAGATGTCAGGTACTGAATGTATTAACTATATGCTTAACTTTCAGTGTATCATACCTTAAAGAGATGTACCACTGAATGCTTAGAAACCTGACTTTAAATGTACATATTTTAAAAAAGAGACTTGAGACATATCAAAAAATATACATACTATAACATTTTAAATGCACTGTTTATAAGAATGCTTTGTTAAATTATATGGCAGAGGAATTTTTATTTTATAAACATCCATGGGCAAATTGGAAGCATTATATAAACTTGGATTTCTGATGTTTGAGTTACTTAAAGAAGGAAAAATTGTATGTTTTTATTCAGTTGTGGATTTTTTTTTTTCTCTTCAAGATAAACTACCTGCAGGACTGATTGTGTAATTTAAAGTTTGGTCTATGTTTTGTTTCTTCCTGGTTGAGCCCTCTTTGTGTTGGGTACTAATAGTTTTTTTGTCCAGGTTAACTACTATGAAAGAATGGGGCCCCAGTGAAACATATAAGTCTATCTTTTAAAATATTTCCAAATATTCATCAGAGAACATATTAAATGCAAAAATGCTGTGTAAGCATTATTCTGATAGGAGAATAATGTAATTAAAGATTGACCGATAGATGATTTTGCAGTTTGGATTAGAGAGAATAAGAAATAACCAGTCAGCATGATTTGAAAATGTCACAGGAGGGTGCCAGCAAGATGATGTCAGCCTTCTCTTTGGCCTATACAGCAAAACACAGTCTTTTCATAAATAGCTGTTACTATGAGGCAGGGTGCTGGGTGTGCATTGAGCATATCCGTATTGTAAAACTAAGTTTCTGAATGAGCCAGAATAAGATTTAGTTAGTTTTTAATGTTCAATAAGAGATGTTTTTAAATTAGACAGATAACTTAAATTTTTGTTTAAAATATTAGTAAGCATTTTCAGTGACTGCTTCGTATTCATTTAGAACTGTGGCTTAGAGCTGTAGCATGCTTATTTTGAATAGGCATTGCTTTTATTCATGTAAAGCCTATGTTTCCCTCCATCATAGTATGTAGCCTGGTAAGAATTGAACCCTGGTTTCCAGTATTCAGTTGCTTAAAGGTTAGTATATTAATTCTGTACTCTAACAAATTATCTAGTAAAAGGATTTCCCAAAGAGAATCTCCAAGGAGAACCTGGGCTAATGTTTCTCTGTACAGCACTCAGGATTTGATAGTGTTCTACAGCACTACTTTAAGTGGTAGAGCCTGTTGAATCTTATGGCTGGGTTGAATATTAAGCAAATCTGCATTCAAGGGAAGGGCAATGGTAGGATTTGTATAAATAGTTTGAGCTATATATGTGGACATAGCTTATAAATATTAAAATAAAAGAAGGGAATATTAATACATTAATCAAACATTTTCTCTGTACTAACCCTTTAAATAAATTACACTAGTGCAGGAGTTTGTATGGAAGTACATGTGTTCTTAAGATTTTGAAGGTACTTTCTTAATTTATCAATGTCTCTGTTTTTATTTATTTTGACTCTGGAATTTTGTTTTCATTTTGGGCTTTTGGTTTTTTTGTTGATGTTGTTATTACATAAAATAAAACACTATAAAGCTATTTTTGTCTAAAATAGTTATTTTAAAGAGAATAAAAAAGTGCCATTTTGTTTTATGTGCCCACACATTTATATAATACTAAGAAGTGTGCCTTATAAAAAGTATAGTCATATAGTAATGTCACCTGTACCTGAGTCTCAGTGTGGTTAAGGCACATAATTGCAGTATTTGTTTTAACACGTATAGTTTGCTATCTAGAGTACTTAGCAGGCAGTTTTTGTTTTCTGGGGTTTTCTTCCATCTTTTTCTCTTTTAATCTTTTATTTATGATAAACTTTTTGTGGTATTACTCTAATGACTATTTCAGTTTTACAAAGTAATACTAAACTATATTTTGATACTAACATGTTTTAATTTGTATAGCACATTATATTCAAGAGATTTTATGCATATATTCTGATTTGACATTCATTTATTAAATGCTTTATCTTGCTTATAGTAGACTATTGCATTGACCTAGAGAAAGAAATATTGGCTCTAGTGCCACTAGTGAGATTGACAACTCTACTATTAAAAAAACTTTTTTGTTGTAACTCTTTTAAAATCAGACAGACATATTAAACCATTTTCTTTCCTAGGGCTTATTTCCCGCCTTAATTTCCTGTCCCATCTACTCATATTGTTGTTAACTAAATGCTAACTATTTAAGTAAGTTTTCTTCTTTCTCCCATAATTGGAAGAGGGGAAAATCTTCCTATCAGATCAGATAGGAATGCCTGCTTATAATTTTCTTTATCTATCACTTTATTATGTTAATTCAAATTCTACCTTTGTTATAATTTCAATAACATTCATTAAAAGTCCCCAAATGGGAAATAATTAATGCTGCTAATTTAATCCTCTTAAAATATTTGCCAAGAATGGTACTTCTACAATTTTTGTCATCTATTTCAGCCTTAAGTATCTAAATTTCCTATTATAACAAATTAGTTAACAGTGAGGCCAGTTATGATCTTCACATATTTGTGTTAATGGTAAAATATTATTCCTGCTTGTAGCTTATGTCATATATATATATATATATATATATATATATATATTATAACCTGTAATGCTTTTAGAAATTATCCTAAAATTAGACTTGATATTCATATGATAAACATTTCTTATTTAGAAATGATAGTGTAAAACATTCTTTATATTGTGTAGTGGCAGAAGCATGGTATATAATATTTGCCACTTTTATTTTAGGTCACCTCTTATAATGTGTTCATTTCCCAGTCGTTAGTGCTTAAAAAAAAAAAAAAAAAAATTTCCCCAAATAAAATCTTTGCTATTTTAGGATATACAAAAACAAAAAATTTGTCAGTTTTATCAAGATGTTAGCTTTCATTTTTAGTTCTTTTTTCATATTACCTGCTTTCTCATATGAAACAGAAAATGACAGAACTATGTCTAAATGAGTTATGCCTATAGTAAAAATTACCTTCTCTTCTTGTAGTTAGTTCACACATTCATTCCTTTTTAAGAGAAATGAAATTGCAAGTTTAGAAATTGTCTTCTTTCTAATTTTATCTCATGCTAAAAAAAAAAGCTATAATGGTTCATAAAGTAGGAGAAAAAGTAGATTTGGCAGTTGATAAAAATATAAGGATGGTAACCCAGTACATAATCAAAAGGAAGTGGAAGTAGGAGATTCATACCTTTCCATCTGAAATGTACCCTTTTGCTTTAGAGAATTTTTTCTATTACAACAGATACCATACGAATGAGTGGAGGTCCAAAATATAATTATTAACCCTTTGATGCACTTACTTCAAATAATTTAATCATTCAAAATTTCCAGCATTCTCGTAAAGGAATTGAACTTACAGCAAGGAAGATGAGAATGCAAGACCCAGAACAGAAAGGATAGGCATTGGGAAGTGATTATGTGATTTTGACTTTTAGCCCTCCCTATATGCACCATCACTGTTCTACTGCTGTTGATAACTTTGCTACCTTCTTTAACACTAAGTTCTTAGAGATTTACAGGAGATGGAAAGAAATGCAAGTTCCCAAATGGTTTGAGTTTTAAAATTATGTCTTACTGATTGAAAAGAACCACATCTCTGGAATTTATAGATGTCACTATTTTTTATTATTTCAAAAATAGATTTCCCAATTATACATGTGCACTTTAAGATATTTTGCTATAAGAAGCAGGGGGAAAAAAAAAACCAACCCTGGACTTTCAGTACCTAGAAGCAGCTTTCCTTGCCACTGGTAATGTTCCCCCACCCCTTTTTTTTAAATAGTCCAAAATAAAAATTTAAAAAGAACTTTTTAAACATACCAAAAGCAGCTATTCATGCTATCTCTTCTAGCTAAAAAAAAGAAATTCTGATTCCATGTCTAGCACTGGGAAACATATAAATGCCCATGATGTTACCATCTTACTAACTAAATCTCAAAAATATGAATGGACAAACTCCACTAATTCAGAATTTATAATAATTTAGACAGTGGCTATGCTAACATCAGTACTATTAATAAAAATATCTTCCTTAGCGAATTAAAAGTATGAACAAGAGGGCCGGCCCGGTGGCACACTGGAGAGTGCGCCGCTTGAGAGCGCGGCGGTGCTCCTGCCGAGGGTTCGGATCCCATGTGGAGAAGTACTATTAATAAAAATATCTTCCTTAGCGAATTAAAAGTATGAACAAGAGGGCCAGCCCGGTGGCACACTGGAGAGTGCGCCGCTTGAGAGCGCGGCGGTGCTCCTGCCGAGGGTTCGGATCCCACGTGGAGACCGGTTCCCACTCACTGGTTGAGCGCGGTGCGGGCGCAACACCGAGGGTTGTGATCCCGCTACCGGTCAGTAAAAAAGACAAAAAAGGAAAAAAAAAAAGTATGAACAAGAAATGTTAAAAAAAGATAAATGAATGTTTTTGTGTTGGGTAATACAGATTACATGTTGGAAATTTGGGCTGTCATAAAATGTAATGATAACAAAATATCCTAATGATTTATATTTTTACATTAATTCCCAAGCAAAACTTTAAAAGCATATATTAAAGATTATATGTTATCATCTGCCAGCATAGGAAGCTAAGTTGTTTTATTGTAACATTCACATGAAATTTAGAATTCTGACTGAAGACAATTTTTTCCTTTCTCTGGGAAATGTATTATTTGCCTCTTCCAGAGTTCACTAAATGTTTATTCTGCTAACCCTTGAAAACTGACCTCTTGCCCTACAGATGAGACTTGAATTTAGCAACTATGGTTCAGATGTACCTCAGCCTTTTAGATCTTCAGGAAGAGGGTTTGATTTAATCATTATATTTAACTCCCTTGCTGAGAAAGCAATCAGACATCCTTTTTTATTATAAACTATGAAAAAAGAATGGACTGCCCCTCCTCCCAGATACAGATTCAAACTAAGGTAGCTCTGACGCCATAGGTTGTTAAAGTTAGTTGTTCCTCTCACTAACTCCTGCTAGGTTGTCCTCTAGAAGCCCAGCTGGGGAAATCCTCTGAAGGAGCAGTCCCATTATGTCAGCTGAGCTTGCCTAGTTCTTAGTACAGTATAGAGCTTAAGAATTCCATCTTCTAACCAAAACATACTGTTGAGCATTGTCTTTGGGAGTGTGGAGGTGATAAAGATGTCAGCTATAATATATACACCTCTTCTGGTTCGGGGAAGAAAAATAGAATGTAGCTTTATAGGGAAGAAAAACCATAATTACTGAGTACTTCCTGTGTTTCAGCATTGGAGTTATGCTGGTACTGATTTGTATTCCATAGGACAGTACTTCCTAACCTTTTTCATATCTTGATACACAGGGAAAATTATGAATTTTGTCACAACACACTGGGGCAAGCAGATAAGGTAGCTGTTGTCCAACAGGAGACTGCCAAGGAACCCCAGCTCTTCCATACCCTGTCTAGCCATCCTGCAGGCTGAGGGGATTAATATCTGGGCACATTTGTTCTCAGGACACTGATTGGGATCTTCAGCCAAACTGGAAGTCTGCAGTTTGGTCTGAGCCTTAAGATTTTAGACTGGGGCCGGCCCGGTGGCGCACTGCTACAGTGTGCCACTTGGGAGTGCGGCGGCGCTCCCGCCGAGGGTTCGGATCCCACATACAGACCGGTTCCCGCTCACTGGCTGAGCGAGGTGCGGGAGCAGCACCGAGGGTTGCAGTCCTGTTGCCGGTCCCGGTCCGGTACGGGTGCGACACTGAGGGTTGCGATCCGTTGCCAGACATGAAAAAAGACAAAAAGGAAAAAAAAAAAAAAGATTTTAGACTGGCATAGATGAGTTAATAATAAACATACCTGGGTGACTTGGAAAAAGTCCTTGACATCCAAAGTCTCTAGAAAAACTAAAGCTCCTATGGGAAGTAATTTTGAGTTTAGGGTCCTTAATTTTACAAATGAAACAATTTTGAGAAGGCAGAGTCCATTGAGCAGGAGAAAATGTTACATGGAAGATCAAAAGGAATAGAATCCGAAAAAGAAGGAACAGTTATATAATGGAATCAGACTTGAGAACAACTTAAAGTTTTGGAGTATATTTTGCAAAACAAGTAGGTGCTCTGATGGTAATAATATCTTCAGACTTGGAGTCAGAAGTCAAGAAGTTATTGTGACTTCTTGCTAGGAATACAGAAGATCTAATCCTAGATTTGTTTAAGGTCTTCATTTCTAAACTCATGTGTTCAATAGGTTTAGCCATTTCTAGAATGTAAGTTAAATATCCCTTATGAAAATTAGTACACTGATGGAACATTATCTCTGGTGTTTTTTTTTTTTTTTGTCTTTTTCGTGACCGGTAAGGGGATCGCAACCCCTGGCACGGTGTCGCCCGCACCGCGCCCAGCCAGTGAGCATACCGGCCATTCCCACACAGGATCCGAACCCGCGGCGGGAGTGTCGCTGCGCTCCCAGCGCTGCATTCTTCCAGAGTGCGCCACGGGGTCGGCCCTATCTCTGGTTTTTGATTAGTAGTTATTATTCAGTGCAGTGATCTCAAATTTAGAATTTAGAAATAGGACAGAAACTCATTCTTTTCACAGTTGCTGTTTTCTAAAGTATAAGTAGTAGAAAAGTACTTGAATATTTAACA